TTTGATCTCATTAATTTGAATCAGTGTAACGTTCAGTGTCAGTAGTTTTCTTCAGCGCTGTCGCATCATTTATTTGTTTGTTTACTTCTGTTTAATGGTTCTGATCTTGGTTTCCTGTCGGTCCTCCGTGCTGCTGTGTGATCGCAGCAGCGTGTGCTTTTTGGAGGGTGGGTAGCTTTCTCGCCCCCTGGTGGATGGCTGTAGGGTACATCATAAGTCCCGCCCCCTCCACGCGAGAACGCGGTTAAGAGTGTAAGCGTTGGTGATCGGGAGCAGCCTGAAGGGCGGGGCTCAGCTCAGAGTGTCGCCTTCATTCCACCGACCTGTCAGGTTCCTCTACACGTACAGTTTGAAGTACTGGAGTAAAGTGAAAGCACAGACTGGGGGTCACACGGGGATTTGGTCCGTTGTTTGGAGGGTTTTTATTTCAGAGCCAAATGTGCTGCGTCACGGTTTTTAACTGGCAGAAGGAGATTTGATCACATCACTCCGATTTTGGCGTCTCTACACTGGCTTCCAGTTGGATTCAGGATCCATTTTAAAGTCCTTTTATTGGTTTTTAAGTCTCTAAATGGTCTGGCACCTGTTTATTTGTCTGACTTGTTGAAGCCCCACGTCCCCACTCGTTCCCTTCGGTCAGCTGAGCAGTTGTTGCTTTCGGTCCCAAAGTCCCGGCTGAAACTTAGAGGAGACCGAGCGTCCTCTGCTGCTGCGCCGATGCTTTGGAATAACCTTCTTCTCCATGTTAGACAGGCTGCATCAGTGCCCGTTTTTAAGTCTTTATTAAAAACCTATTTTTATTTCCTGGCTTTTAACTCTGTGGGTAACTGACATCTTATTGCCATGTGCATATTTGTATTGTACAGCACTTTGGTCTGCCAGGTGTGTTTTTAAAGTGCTATATAAATAAATGATGATGATGATGTCAGATTGTGTAACGCCGAGGCACAGGTGGGCTGTTACTTTCACTTCTTGAGTAGCGACAGCGTTGTTGAGTGTTTAGTCAGATAAGACACTCAAAAACTAACAGATATTAATATTATAGCTTTACACTGGTCATTTACTCAGGCTGATCTAGGAAGTTAAATCTGTTCTCTTTGCATGTTTTTAATACTTCAGATACGCTCACATGCCTGAAAGGTCTCAGCTCCAGTCTTTAGCCAATCACAGCTGGGAGGCAGCGAGGAGAGCCAATGACATGCTGCAGGAGATGAAGCGTCTGAAGACTGAGATGAAGATGCTGCTGACGGTCAGTGTACGATTCAGCTCAGCTCGAGTTAACGAGAGTCTGTAACACTGAAGCCTGACACACGCTCTGTCCCCCAGCAGCCAGAAGACCCTCTGAAAACCAGCAGACCTGCACCGAAGCACCAGCAATCCCAGCAAACCCAGTCCCAGCAAACCCAGTCCCAGCAAACCCAGTCCCAGCAAACCCAGTCCCAGCAAACCCAGTCCCAACAAACCCAGTCCCAGTCCCAGCAAACCCAGTCCCAGCAAACCACCTCAAAGGAAAATCGCTCGAGGTCCCAATCTTCCCACCTCCAACAAAACGTATCCCATGAAAACAGTTTACAGTCCCAGCAAAACCAGTCCAGACTACCCCAGCCCAATAAAACCACTGATGAAGAACATAACCTGTGGTCCCAGCAGTCCCAGTCTGTGCTGGTCCAGAGGAGGTCCGCGGTCCCGTCCCTGCTGGAGGAGGCGGGTCAGGTTCTCCGTCAGGTTCGAAAGCAGAAGAAAGTTCTGGAGGAGAACGTGGAGGCTCTGCTCAGAGCGCGGACCGGAGAGGTGCTGCACTGCCAGCTGGAGGCGCTAGCTGCTAACAGGTAGCTAATGGTAGTGTTGACTTCAGGTGTGCTAACACAGGACAGGTGTAAACACTTAGGATGGTTTCTCTGACCGGCAGAGACCACAGCGAGGAGGTGCGCGTCAAGAAGACAGTGGACGCCTGGATCAGCAGGTTAAGCAGAGACATCCAGGTGAGCAGCAGGCCGGGAACACCTTCATCTTTCTCTTTGTCTGCTTCTTCTTCTTCTAAACTTCACTTCTAGAACTCCGATGTGGCGCCATCTGTTCTCTCGCTGGCACGACAGCACAAACGCTTCTTCTTCTTTGAACTTCTCTTCTCCTCCCCCGGTGCTCAGAGAAAGAGCAGAAGAAGTAAAACGGCGACTGACCCTTCTCTGCCTTGCCATCAGGCTGAGATGTCCTCAAGGAACATCAGCAACCATCACTCAGCTGTGGACGCTGATAGCTCCGCCCACTCAGGGAAGGAGAGGCCAGTGGGCGCGCTCAGAGGGACAGGAAGTGTGAGGACAGCGAGGAGAGGAAGCAGAGGGCAGAGAGCCGGAATCAGAGCGGTGAGGCTGGATTCTTCTGGAAGCCATTGATTCGTTTCTCATCAATAACAAACAAGCGATCACTGATTGGTTATGTGTTTATGCACCCGCAGGGGGTGGAGCCTAACCGAGGCACAGGTGGAGCAGCTGAGCGTCATCAGTTGGAAGTGGACGGAGAATCGTACCTGACCCGGCTGTATGGCCGGGCGCCGTATGAAGGTCTGAGACGGACCCTGAAGAAGAGTCCGTACCTTCGCCTCAGCTCACCTGCCTCACCACTCGGAAGGAAGCCCCGCCCCCGACTAGTGGAGAGCGTCCGAGGTCAGAAAGTCGACATCAGTAAGTGTGATGGTAAAGGTTGACCTGTGGGCGTCGTCAAACGTTCTGCTCTGTGTCTCAGGTGTGAAGCTGAAGTCCTCCAAGACTCAGACCAGCCTGGCCCCGCCCCTCACTCAGGCCCAACCAATCATTTCAGCCCCTCCCTTTGCTTCCTCCTCACCTGGACGATCTCACATTTTCAGCTCATCACACCTGACCTCAGGTCGCTTTGATGACCTCAGCATGACCCCTGCAAACAGCTGCCCTGTCGCCATAGCGATCCCACTGGGTCAGTAACATAGTAACCTGTTTTTGTAAAGGTTAAAATAAACATAAACAACAGTTCCAGGTCAAAGGTCAAGTATAACACACACAACCCTCCCCATGCAGGTCCACCCCGGATGGACTCCAGGTGTGAGCATCCTCAGGAAGTGACATCAGCGCTCGCTGCCCCTCCAACAGCCTCTGTGGGCGATGAAGCACCTGACCAGGTGAGCAGCTTTGAGCCTCTAAGGACTTCAGTCAGTCAAGGGTGGAGGCGTGAGCTCTGACAGGTGTGTGTGTGTCCACAGCAGCTCCTGGAGGCAGAACAAGCTCCTCCCCCTCCCCGTCCTCCATCACACACGATTGACATCATCGAAGGGAACGAGGAAGAAGAGGACGACTTCTTCCCTGGAACTGACTTCCTGTCTGTTGTTGATGTTGTGCAGGTAAGCCCCTCCCCCTCCTCTGTGCTTTAGAGCAGCCACCGTCGTCTCATTGGACGGCCACTTTAGTCTTCAAGTAGTCTAAAAACAAAAAAATGCCCACAAATACTTCCTGAAATGTTTTGTTCCCTCTTCACTGACTGAAGCCAGGTTGAGACCTCTGCTGTCAGTGTTTTCAGTGAGGCTGCAGCGCCACCTGCTGGACGAAAACAGAACAGCAACTCAGAGCGAAGATGATGATGATGATGATTGTTATTATTATTCACGTTTTTGGACACATGGAGACGTTTGATTAATTAATCCTTTGGTCTCATTTTTGTGTTTTTGTAGATTTTTCTCAGTGATTTCAGTAACATCTGATTTATCTCGATCTCGTCATTTCACTGATTTTCAGTTGTGATGTTTTTTAGACTTTTAGTAGAAATCTCAGAAAACTTTACAAACTGAGCCGCTGTTTCAGAATTTTGGAAGGTTTTCAGTCATGAAGAAGGTGAAGATGTTGTTTTAAAATAATCTATTGACTCATTAATATTACAGTCAGGCACATGTCGGTTACAGCGCCGTGCAGAAATCTTGAGCTCAGGTGTAGTGATGTCACTGAATAGAGAACCTCTTCTCAGCAGGAGGTCAGCGTGTCGGGGGAGGAGGCCGTGGAGCTGGACGGGGGTCCGTCTCCCCCTCCGGTCCTCTACCAGGGTCCCATCTTCCCTCCCCAGGCTCCCTCTGCCCCCCCAGCCCAGGATCAGGTCCCCGTCCTGGGCACGGCCCTGCAGCGGGACGTCCTGGAGACCCGGCTGGTGGAATGGTGAGAAACCAGCACGAACGCCAGACCGTGGAAACGGCGCCACATTGTCACCATTTTGGTTTCTGTTTTCAGGGTGGAGCAGCAGCTGATGTCCAGGATGATCTCAGAGCTGTACTGGCCCCCGCCTTCTGACCACGCCCACAATAGCGACGTGGACCAGTCAGATCCAGAGGAGCGCAGCGTCACCTCAGACATTGGTAGGTGCACCTCCTCCTGCTCCTCCTGTTCTGCTCCCCGCCCCTCCCTGACTGTTTGCTCCTCTGTGTCTGCAGTGGAGGCAGCAGGAGACGCAGGCCTGCAGCTGTTCGTGGACGCCAGCGTGCCCGTGGACTCGGAGTTAATCCGGCAGCTGGTGAACGAGGTTCTGGCTGAGACTGTCGCCCTGATGCTGGGCCAGAGAGAGCCGCTGGGCGCAGGACCAGCCCCGGCGCTGGAACCAGCAGGACCAGCGGACCCTCAGGAGGTACGGAAGCTCTGTCGTAGCGTCGTAGCGTTAAGCCCCGTCTCTGAAGGCCGCCGCTTCTCTTCCAGAACGAACCGCTCCCATTGGTCCCCACACCGGAACCAACCCCACCGCCCAGCCCGGCCCCGCCCAGCAGAGAGACTACGGCGGTAACCACACCCCCTCCATCAGAACCGACAAGCCCGCTGAATAAGGAGCTTCCTCAACCAATCGCACCACCAGGTGCCTCAGAGCTCGTAGCCACACCCACTCTCAGCCCAGAGCCCACCCCCTCTGCAGAAAGCCCAGCTACTGTACACCAAGCCCCGCCTCCCTTCACTTGGGAAGAAACTGAGCTTCCATTGGACGAGGAGAGACTGGTGGAAGACATCACCACACACAGACCACCTCTGTATGTCCAACAAACACACACACACAAAAACACACACAGACACACACA